TGCAAACCGAACCGCAAGCTGTGTGTTTAGACACACTTCAGTGAGAAAAAAGAGTGGCTCAGACCTCGTTACAAGTCAGCACACTATCAATTCCTCCAGGATTAAGATTTGGTTTCTGGATGATGTTCACATTGTGAGTTTTGTTTGTTTGGTGTCGTTTTGGAAATAAAGCCTTACTTTTATGAACTGGATCAGACTAAGAGGAAGATGCTGGGGTTGGTGGACATGCAAATACACAACATTTATACCAAAAACTGTACTTTTTTAATGGTGTTTGTTAAAATGTTTGATAACTGCCTCTCACTATGGGTAAAAATTAAAGCCCTAACTTATTTCCTGTTTGCAAACCTGGCCGATCTCTGAGTGGGAAGTCAGATTGTGGAGTCAGTGTGGAGTCACAGTCCAAATGGGATTACCCTAGTTTTTCACATAAAGACTAGAAGTGCAGGTGAACAGCTGGCCTTGTTACGTCTAAAGTTAACTAACACAACTGTCAGGGCTCTGTGTGCAGGCGGATGGAGAGGAGGATCCAAATGCAAGACTCTGAGACTGAATTGAAACTGAGAACCTTAGCTTTATTGCTGGTGATAAACGAAAACATGAACTGAACACACAGGCATAATTCTGAGGGTACGACACAACACTGAGAACAGGAAAACACAGGGCTAATATACACAGGGTGGTAATCAGGGAATGGGCAACAGGAGGGAGACACAGCTGGGAGAAATTGGACTAACGAGACAGGGGGAGCAAAGCTGCACACACTAACATAAGACATAGACTTTCACAATAAAACAGGAAATAAGACACAAGGACGCAGACTGAGAAACACAAACTTAACACGGGCAGAACTAAAAATAAACCAGAATAAGCTGGAACATAGAACATCATCATAATCATCATCACAAGCACTAAGAGAATAAGAAAACAATCAAACACACCAAAGTACCTTGAAATGCAGATTCATCATTCAAAAATAAGCCAAAACACAACTCAAAATACTGGGTCAAACTGACCCAGAACTGTGACAGTAACTCCCAATCTCTCGAAAACTGAACTCTCACTCAGTGTATTTAATTTCTTTAAACCAATTCTGAACCCAACAGTTAGACGACCGATCTGGTTTTACATGGAGTTACAAGATTTTCTGATTTTTCAGCTTTTGTTTTTTGATGCAATCAGTAAGTCTGTGTTTTGACGTAGCAGAGTTATAACAATTCACAGTATCAGTTTTCAGTATATTCCAGTACTTTTTGTTTTACAGAAAATGTACATGTTTTCTTAAAATTGGCATGTTCTGTGCAGCTGTCATTGCTGGAAAGAGAAAACAGACAAACCTTCTGCTTTGCCAAAAAAAGTCTCACTCTAGAATAAAACATGAGACAGGTGGTGTTTTAGCTTCACTGATTATGAAGTGTGGATAAAAGTATGAAGGAGGCTCAGGAGGCCTCCCACCTTTTACTGGACCTCATCGTGCTCTGTTGTCCACTGATCAGCTTTTTTTTTTTAATCATTTAAATAAAATTCATGTTTCTGAAAGATCCTTAAAAAAAACCAAAAAGTTGATTTCTCGTTGTCTCACTTTTGAGCTGAGCCATAAACTTTGAATAGAGTTAGACTTTAGCAAAGCCCTTTTAAAAGCAACTTTTACTACTTTTTGGCAGTTTTGCTAACACTACCAGGGAATTAGTTTTAAGAAACTAAATAAGTGAATGCAAAGAGATCCATTAATTTGATTTCTAGTCATCACTAAGACATAAACTGCATGTATAAAATCACCAGTGAACTTCAAATCGAATTAAGAACACAAAACAAAACATAGAAAGACTTTAAATGCTGAAAATGGTCCAGAGGTGAATGCGAAGAATACTCTGAATGTGAGATCAGTCGCTTTTAAATTGGGTAAGGGGTTTGAGTCTTGTGGACCAGTTCTTAGAACTTTTTATTTAGACCTCATGCATCTCTATTACGACAGCCAGTCGATATGCCTGCAATGTTTCCTAGATGAGCTATTTCAAGGCTATTTTGTGGGGTGTTGTAGGACAACTGTCATATTTGCCATTAAGGAATTATTTTATAAATTACTTCATATATAGTATAGTTATACTGTCTCTGAGTTTATGCAAAGGTAAGCAAATAATATTCTCTCCTTTAAAAAAAAGCAGCAAAATGCTCTTTTTATGCAGACATTCATGTGTAAAAAATATTTATCTGTTATCATATTAAGGGGCAAAAAATAACCTTAAACATGTGGAGAACAATAATGGGGAAAGAGTGTCAAAGAAAGCAGAAAGAAAAGAAAGTAAAGAGGAAAAAGAAGAGCTGCTGGTGTAACTGAAACTCTGTTCCTGAAGACACAGGAGAAAGTGGGTGTCGTTTGCCAGCTTGGATCACTCCGACGTCTTACGTCAGTCCAGCATGGATGGACTCAGCAGAACCACTGGTGGATTTAAGCAGTGAATGAGAACCCAGATGAATTTAACCCGTCAGAGCAGGAATAAAACAGATGGTATCAGATGACTGCAGGCATCCTGAGTGACACGTTTAGATGAGACCCAGATCAGCAGGCTCACAGTTGGCTGAGATGTGAGACGACCCCTCTGGGAAAATGTCTTATCTACACATGACAGTACTGAAGTTTGAAATATGCTTCGCTGCACGTAGACTCTGTGGCGTTCGCAGCGATGCTGATGCAGCCATTCAAAGAGCATCACGCTGTCACAGAATTAATACACGTGCAAACACTGTCAAATCTGTTTCACCCTTAAGGGTTACCAATTCTAAAGTTTAGGCCTAGCGTGCCCAGCCTCATGCATGCACCATGAGGCAAACATCCCCCCAGTTTAGACCCCGGTTGTAAAGTTTAGTTACCATTAACTTCTTCCAAGGAAACCTGATTTATCACTTGTAACCTTGGGGATGAAGAATGAAATACCAAAAACATGACTTCCTCTAATGGCTGTTTGAAGGTGGCTCCAAAAATGAGTTTTATCCTGTGATAAAATGTTCAACTTTGCAGCCTTAAAAAGCATGTTTACTGTCACAGAGAGCAGAAAAGCCACCACAGGAAGTGAGTCTGGATTCTGGGGGAGTGGCTGTTTTGATTGACAGGTGTCCTAGTGAAGGTTGCTGTAGCCAATCGGTGTCTGTGAGGTCTCAGTTGGAGTCACTAAACTAGACCTATCCTGCACTTCAGAGTGCGGTTCATTGTGTTGCACGCTTACAGCTGATGGGAAACAAGATAACTGTTTGGCAGCCAGATCTCACATTAAAGCCTCAAATTGCAGTGTCCATCACTTATATACAGTCTATTATTTCACCTGGTATTTCATTGAAAAACTGTATTATTTTAACGTCAGTTCACTCCACATTTAAACTTGCTTCAATGGCTACCAGTTCAGCTGCTTTCATTGGTTAACATCTTCAGCACCACTCCCACTCCTCTCTTCATTCACTGTGTGTTTTTACTGATTTCTGATCTAATCTTTTAATTTGTATACTTTCAATGACATTCTTTCTTTCAGGACTTCAACTTTAATGATGCTTCTGTTAATCAAAATCACTCTTTTATGCCCATTGACTTCAGCTGAATGGTTCTACTGAAAGCTGCACTCAAGGCTAAATTCCTATAAAATTGAAACTTAGTGTTATCACCCAGCTTTAGCCTCAGCTTCTTTCAGTGCCTTCAGATCAAATGATCAGTAGAAGTAAGCACAAATTTGTAGTTCCTGGTTCTTTCCACATCTCCCTGGGGAACAATTGTCCACATTTTCCATCTCACACACTTTTCTGGAATTCCCACAAAGATGCTAATACTCTGTGCCTGTTTGGTAAACACGTTTTCTCTCTACACTTAAGACCATTTCCCCCGTTGCAGGTTAGGTTGTAGAAACAAGGCTTATTCTGTAGACACAGGCTCTGCAGATAATACTAATCATGCCAACGGCAGGGAGGGGAAAACTGATCAGAGTGACACATCACCAAACAAGGAAAACTTGTACCAAATTACAACCTATGTTCGAGGAAATATCTCGAATTCTTTTGGTTAAGCTGACAGGAGCACTGACTTGTCCGCGAGGCCTGAAGAAAGGAGCGCGAGCTAGTGCATTAAGGAAAAGTACACACTATATGATATTGAGACTACAGCTAGTCTACCCTTAGATATGAATCATTTTCTCTACTCGGTTCTGAAAACTCATTCTTGACTTTGGAAACAGGAGTTGGAAAAATAGTTTTTGGAGCTTTTGACTTAATTAAGTTTGCCTTGTTCTTGGATTTGTAGAACCAGCACAGCAGACGTGAATGGAGCACTCCTGTTTCATCTAAGAAAACTCTTCTATCCAAAACTATCCACACTAAGGTCTGTGGATGATCCAGACACACAGGACAGAGTTTCTAAAATAGCATTGTACTTATGAATATTTTAAAAAAGCAATTTATCATCAGTGTGAGCGCCACAAAAAGTGAGATGATACGGAGTAAGATGATAGGACTAAGTGAGAATGTACACTTTTAATAAAGTGGTTAATTGACCCTTTAAGACACCCCCTGAGGACCATGTGAAGGGAAGTGTTACTAACCAGTAACCTGAGCTGTACAGCTGTGCTCTGTATGTTCAGATCTCCGTTTCATCCTGTCATAATTAATGTAGGAGTTCATGCAAGAGTGATCAAGAGGCAGCGATTAAACACAACTATGCATGACGAGTACGAAAGGATAACAGGAGAGGTAGTCCACAATCTACCAACACACACACACATGCACACACACATGCACACACACACACATCTTCCACTGTCAAGCTCTGTGGCCTAGAGGTATGCAAAGTATCTTCCTATCCCTAACCCCTGCATGCAGGCTAAACCCAAACTTGTGCGTGGAAAAGATGTTTAGCAGCGGGAGGAAGTCATCTTTTAATCGAGGTGTGAAAACAATGACGTGCTTGAGATCAAAATACATTCAGCCCTGTCAGTCATACCGAATAAAGCCACACACTGATCCAGGTTTTTTTTTCCCCCATTTATTTCAACACTAACAGTCATGTGTAATATTGTGCTGACTGGCGTCATGTGACTTCTGTTGCTGTAGCCTCACAGTTGCTAATCTAGAGCCGTCTATCTAGAAAAAGCAGGCTGAATGTCCCAAACTAAGAAACCCAAACTGTTCCTGATCAAGCGACATAAATGAGCTACACGCTGGTCATTTTGGTGTGAGGAGACACATCACAGCTAACTCCACAGACACAGTATTATCAGCTATCTGTCATAAACATGTTACTTTTCACCATTTACAGGTAGACAGAGTCAAGATCTGAAATCACACAGTGCTGACATAACACAGGGTAAATGATTTATTTGAAGGACGATCTTAAAATAATAATGATATATATATATATTAGCTTCTGTTTCTGACCCCTCCCCTTGCAGCAGGGGCGCCACCAAGGGGGCCTCCGCAGTGGCACCCCTGGCAAGACTGTCCTATTTTGGTAATAATTCTAATAAATGTGAGCACAAGTGAGAGGAAGACAACCCCAAAACAACTTAAAACATTAAATTGTTATTTATTCCAGCTTTAAACAGATTATTATGGATGTCAAAATCTGATGTGGTTTTCATGTATCTATTTTCAGTGATGTCAACTTTAATAGCAGGAAATTATCTAGGCATATCATTGTTTTCTGTCTCTCTTTTTTGGAAATATTTTTGAAGTAACATGTATTTAACAACAGCATAATGAAACTGGAAATTCAGTTTTTGGTGTGCCACCCCAATATTTTTAGTGGCCCCCATTTGGCCACCCCTATGCAAAAATTCTGGAGGCACCCCTGCCTTGCAGATGTTAGAGTAGCATACCAGGCAGCACAGCTAACACTGCTTTGGAGCAAATATTTCCAGAAAAAAGATGAAGAGAGTCTTAAAATAGTCCAGTGGTCGGCTACGGAGGGACTGCTAAATTTTGGGGTGCTGAATCTCCCAAAAAGCATCTTAAAGCCTCACAGGTGTTATTCAAAGAGGTCCGCCAGCATGTAAAGGTTTAGATTAGACAGTTTTCTAATCTGTTTCTGTAAATAAGTGGGATGTTGTCATGCCTATTTAAACTGGAAATAAAAACAAGTTCAAGATTAAATCTCATTTATGGAAATGTGTGGAATGTGGCCTACGTTTCTCTTGTGGGGGGTTTTTTGTTTTGGTTTTTTTTTGGGGGGGGGGGGTATTTTGCTGATTGGGCAAAAAACATATCCACCATAATGTAAATAACTAACGTGCAGGTTCACACATGTAAACCTGCTGTTTCAGTTTGTTACACAAATGCATGTGGCGTCTGATAGGGGAAGTAATTCCTCGACTTAAACTTTGATATAAACATCTGGCTTTTCTTGTCTGTTCACATTGATTATGCTTGAGTAAGAAGCTTTTCATGTTAACAACACTGCTCAGAGCAGCAAACCGATGTTCCATTACAATAATCCAGACCCAGATTTAAAGGAGCACTCTGTCAGTTTCGCTAACCAAATTCAAAGTACTCATCAGGAGGCGCAATCCCCAGCTGATGTAAATAAATTGCTGATGTTTTCTGTTTCTGTCACTCCTCATGACAACACCTAGCTTATCTCATGTTTATCTAACATATGGTCTGGTCTAAGATTTAAAAGCTGTGGGCATCGAGGGGGCAGGAGGGTCTAATTAGAGATCATATCCAGTTGTATTTTAGGAAATCCTGAAGATTCAGAGGTTTGGGATCTGTTTGAGAAACAGGAGCCTCTGCTGTTTCTGTTTGTTTTTCAGTCCGTTTCCTGTGATTCCCCTAATCTGTTACTACATTGCTGGAGTTCCCCCTTTTTCCATAGCTGTTTCGTTAGAAAGATGGCACTTTTTTTCTTGCTGTTAACTCAACCTAATAATCAAATAGATAAATCAACTTAAAAAAAAAAATGTTTGGAAACCTGGTGCTTGTTCAGGGCTATTCATGACATAACACTTGGCCTTCTCTGGCTTTGCTTACTTGAAACGCTAAGAGCTCATGGAAATATATAATGCATGATGTTGACTTTGCATCGGTTTAAAGGGTCACAAGCTCACAGCAATCAAAAACCACAAGAATCAAATAGTTCATTTTTTTCTTTTTAAGTCTAGAATGTGAGAGTTCAGCAGTATGGTTAAATACGTATGACTTCTTGTGCTTAAGAGACACGCTATACTGTATGACAGGACAATATCGAGCAATCTATCAGCTCTGCTTAGCCGACTAGATCAGGGATCAGTATACGTTCATAAACTTTACGGTATAATTGCTCCAAACCCTGATATCATTCAGAATATTAGGCAGTTCTGGGTAATAATAGTCAGCGCTTATAGTTTCCAGTCTTATTTTGAAAAGGAAGCAATGAACTGATTCCACATTTACTTTTTTGGAGACTGAAAGAGCTGTAACATGTTCTTAGCTGACTCATCTATCTGTATAGTAGTGGATAGCTGACTAGTCTTTACTGTGCATTAAGATACATTTCATGTTGGCCTTTTAAAGGAAACTTTGCATGGCCATTAGACCTACTTTCAGCATAACAACACTTAGCCGTGTCTTTCAGTCGCTTCAGCGAGTTGTTGGACTCCCTGACAAAAGCGAGCTGTTACCTCTGAGCCATCCTTCCATCAATGACGCCTTAAAGTTAATTTGAGGACTACAGATTTTAAGAGGCTTGTTATAATACTCTTCTAGGTTATTTCGCCTAACAAGTGGTGCTTTGTTGACCTTCCTCTTACAGGTCAAAGGTCAGCTATAGAGCAGCATGGCATCTCTCTCTATAAGCATGCTGTCCTTTCTAGCTTATTGTGCATGACTACATGTCAGAATTATTGCTATAGAACTACATCATCCATACAGAGGTGCATTTTGGGTAGGGGAGAACATCTCCCAGTATTGCCAACACTGATTTCTCTGCCCCTGAGTTTATGGCATTGCATAAAAGTCCAACATGCTTCCAAGCAAAGTGAGTCTATACGAGTGACTCGCACACAGGTGTGTTGTCAGAGTCCTGGCTGTGCATGGAGCTCAGCCCCGTGTCCGAGTCCTCATCGTTTGTGTTGCAGGCTTTGGAAAGACCTCGGGCCTGTTCCACCCAACCGCCGCTCTTCTCCCCTGATGCTGGTTCTGCATCAGCGCTCACTGCACCCAGCTCCCCCTTTCCATCATCGGTCAGTGTGTTGTTTGCTTGCTCTATCTCCATGGTTTCCACTTTGGCCAGCAGGTCCAGCAGTTCACTCTCCTTGGTTTCCCAGAGTGCCAGACTCAGGTCCAAGTCCCCCCTGATGGCGTCCAGATCTGTCTTCAGTCTCAGGCCGATGTAAAGGCTGGTGTCCAGCTGCGTTTTGATCCTTTCCTCTTCCAGTACGAGCTCATTTTCAGACAAACTCTCAACATCTGGTTCCACAGCTGGAGGGGCGGACACAGTGAGACACATCTCCTCCGAAACACTGTCCGTGTCCTGTGCTGCTTCTGCGCCTCTCTCCTCCCGCCGACGCTTCATCCACCGCCGATTCAGCTCCTCCTGGATCTCCCCGGTGATGCTCTCCACGAGCGCCTCGCGTTCCGTCAGCTCCTCCTGCAGCCTCACCACCTCCTCGCACCGGCGCGCGTATTCCTCAAACTGCGCAAGCGTCTCCGACGTGCACCGCGCGTCCTGACGCTCCGCTTTGCGCTTACAATCCGAAAGGGCAGGAGCCCCTGAAGTGGAATCTACGAGGTAAGTGTCCTGCACGTAGTTCACCCCGTGTCTCTTAATGCGGTCGAAGTGCACTTTGGCCTCGTAGCGCTCGATCTCCCGGTCCAGGTCCTTGATCCTCTGGATCTGCTGGCGGATGGTGTGGTCCTGAGAAATCACCAAGTGGACCAACGTCTCCATCTTTTCCACCGAGCTTTTATCTTTAGAAACAGTCTGCTCCTTCTTTTTGTTCATTTTGTCCAACTTTCTGAAGGCCTTCCTGACGATGCGCCGCTGTTTCTCCTGGGACAGGTTGGCCGCGGCGGCCGCTGCGGTCCAGCAGGTCCGGGCGGTACCCTTGAGCAAGCCGCCCGGACCACCACTCTCCCGGCTCTGGACGACTCGGGCCTCGGCGCTGCGGGGCCCGTTGTTGGGCAGCGAAGCCTCGTTTTTCACCAGGACAAAGCGAACATTCTCTTGCTCGTCTCCCCAGGCGCTCCACAGCCGAAGGATTTTGGTCTTGTTGGGTAAAATCCTCTCGAAGCCTCTCCATTTCTCCACCACGCAGTAGGACTGAGGAGAGCCAGACAGCATCGCTGCCGAGGCGCCCTGCTGCAGGTTCTGATCTTCAAGCAGGACTTTGACCACGTCGGCGCAGGTGGTTCGCTTAGTCAGCCCCGAGACCAGCTTCTCCTCCCGGCAGACCCATACCGAGATCTTTCCCTCCTCCGGCTCCATCTCCGGCTGAACTCCAAGAAAGAAAGAAAGAAAAGTTCCCTCACTGAATCCTCTCTGCTGCCTTCGTCTGCTGCAACTAAAAAAAATAAAGGAGACAAAAATATTTTTATTAATGATGCAAAACATTCATCAGGAATTCTCTGCGCAGTCGTCTGTGTCAGCTCTCACTTTAAATGCGCTCAGAAGTCCGGACATGTAACCTCATTACGCTTAAAAATATCTGCCTTATTTCTAAAAAGAAAAAAATCACATATATTTATTTACCTCCGTGGTCTGTTTTGGGGCAGTCTGCTGGGACCTCATGGCTCTCTCCCCGGCATATCGATCTGAGCCCTGCGCGCTGCTCCGGAGAGGAGATGAGGAGTGCGTCCTTGCGTCAGGGCAAGCTGCTCTGGTGTGTAGGACAAAACAGGAGGGTGCTGTAACGCTGGGACACGCCTCCTGCCTCCTCTCTCGCTCTCTCTCCCCCTCTCTCTCACTTACACACACACACACACACACACACACACACACACACACACACACACACACTTTCTCACTCTTGATAACAAAGGTAATCTGGACTGATATGCCAGCCTTTGTTAAGTAGAAAGTCGGTACTGAGGGTTAAGACAAAGTTGCCTTCAGATAACTGTCTGAAACACACTTATCAAACTAATTCCGTGCGTGACTTAATAATCTATGGGCCGGTGTGTTTACACGGCTAAAAGTCAGCGCTGTTATCCACGTTTGCGTAGTATTTTTATTAATGTCACAGGTTTTATTCTTGAGATCAGTCTGGTCTACATGAGAACTGCAGTGAAGTCAAACTTGATATCTGGGATGTCAAATAATCAACAGTTATTAAGTTCGGTTGGAAATAGAACCGTCATCTCTCAGGTCAGCAAAAAGGGGTGAAAAAAGTGCGGTTGCCAAAATGCGCTATAATATTTCAAAGTCTTAACTACAGCTGACGAGAAACACGTCAGATTAGTTCCTGATCATCTCCATCTTTAACGCGACTTTCTGGCCTTTCATGATTTCTGCAGTCTTCTTCACTTTTCACTGTGAATCTGTTCACAGACTCTGAAGTGTTTGGAAGGGGATGTCAGGTCATGCACATGCAAAATATTTTAACATAATTCCATATTGTCCAGTTTCTTCACAATGTAAATAGACGGATGTGTTCACAGATGTCTCACAGGAGTGGGAGGGCGGCACAGAGTGGGCCTCTTGTCTTCTCTTTCTTCGTGGTGGGTGGGTGGAGCTGACCTGCTCAGCCATGCAGCACACCTGTGCAGGTTGAGCTCAGGAGATTATCCAGCAGCCCCACCAGCTCCTCTCACTTTCTGTTCCTCTGGCTGACTGAGCGAGATACCAGTTTGCAGTTTGTGCATTTGCTCAGAAATGCAAACTGGCTCGTGACCGTCCACACGTTTAATGTTTGGTTTATTTATTTTAACTCAAATACTTCTCATCTAAAGACTATGAGGGTAACTGCAAGACTTGTCATTATAATTTCTGACGAGGTGGAATTTCATGTTTTTACTTTTTTGCTTTTTTGCTTGCAACTATGAGATTTTTTTGTGTGTGTTTTTGTCTGCCTCATTAGGTTAGTACAATCTCAAGGTAAGCACAGAGCAGAACCTTCAGTCTTTTGGCTTTGCTTACTGTGTCCCGCACAAGACAGAGAGAGCTAGAGTTGGAGCAGAGAGGCACTCGGACTGAGCTAAACCGCTGATGAAGCTCTTACTCAGCAGTGTTAAGACTGCAGTATGTATTGTTACTCAGTTTCATCTTCATAATCTCCACAGAGCCGAATGTTTTAGAGCTCAGCTGGATTGGGTAAAAAGCGGAAGGAAATCCATCTATTACACCCCGCAGGGTCCTCATATAGCGTCTGATCCCATAATCGGCTCTTTCAACTATTTCAGGACAGAATATGGTCGACCAAACTCGTAAAAGGATTTATGTGCATTAAGAGTGTTTTGGTGTGTGTGGTAGTGAACATATTGCATTGATGGCAAGCGCTGATCCCCAGCAGGCACCATTAGTCTGTTTGAGTACTGTCAGGAGTGATACATCAGGCCGGGTTTGTTGGTAAAATAACTGCTTAGGAAACCATCTGGGAATATGAACACACGCACACGCGTTAAGGCATGTGAGTGTGCGCACTTACTGGATACAGAACCATGTTCACATACGTTCTGGGCATGCGTTGCAAACAGTAGATTTGGATTAAGAGGACTGTGGGCTCTGCGTCTGGGATGCACGATAACGCGGAATGTTTTTCTTATCTTGGATCTTGTTTCCTGTGAGGTCACTGTGTCTGTCTGTGTGTGACCTGCAGACTTGTTATTGGCTGTCAGACGTTTGGAGTTTCCAGTCTCACCACAACAAATATGCCCACAAAGCCAGCTGTAGCATGAAAAACATTTTACTTCACAAAACGTCACGTTCACTGTTGATGAAAAATAAAATGTTGTAGTTGAGCTCAGTTATGGATAAAGCCTCAGTTAAATACAAACTTTTTAGTTTTAAAACAAATGAATCATTGTCTTAATAACGTGAACAATCAAAGATTTTTATGCATTTTTTTCTAACAAATTCTTAAAAGTGAAGTGACAGAGAAAATGCAGTTTCAATGGCGCTTTGGATGCATTTCTTTGAGTAGAGCTCCCTCTGGTGTTTTTAAGGGAAACTGCTTGGCTGACGTTCACTCTGTCTCAGCTACATCTGGAATTGTGGGTCCAGATGTTGTTTTATGTTTTGTTATGCGATTCTGATTGGCTGCGTCATTGACTGTTAATCATATACAGCTAGAGAAAATGTACTGACCATTAGCAAGGGGCACAGAAATTAAGAGGTCATCCTGATAGATCTCTAAGATGTAGCATCTTATAACCTCAACACTATGTGAATAAAAATTGTCAGTGCCAAAGACTTCCATTGTTTCCTGTAAGATCCTAAAGTCTTAAACATTGTTGGAGGTAATGCGTTGCTACAATCATATCACACTTGCTACCATGTGCGGTCACTTAATCCATATGTTCTCCATTGATCTGTACAACAGGAACAAAAACCCAATAAAATCTTTTCAGCAACAATCATTTGAAGCACATTACTTGAAATTCATTGTGTGTATCTGTTCTTTTAATGAGCGCAGGGATTAGTGCTGATATTTGAATATAAGGAAGTTCTAACTTTAATGTGAAGTAAAATTCATGTAAAGAACAACAAAAAGGTTTCAGCATATATTAGTTGTTCTTCAGTTTTGTTTTGAGCTGACTTGGCAGCTAAAAAATAATGGCAATAATTAAACAGGGTACAAGTACTTGAAAACACTGCTCCAGTATAATAAGCATACTATATGGTTACTTTCTTAGCCTATTTAAACTCCAGATGGTTCAGGTTTGATTTGCATGTTTTGTGCATTTGCGTGTGAGCTATGCATCGATACAGTTTGAGCTTCATAAGACATATGTGTGAACAATTCTTGAGTTCATAGTTCATTCAGTTGGTGTGGCAAACACAAAACTGGAATAAAAATCTTCCTGAATGGATTCTTGATGCAATTAACCAAAAAGGCTCTACATGGTCAAGATGTCTAGTTCATTGGCTCGAACTGCTAAAGTTTGTTATTGAGAACAGTTTTCTGCACCGGGCTGTAAACATACAGCATATTTTACAGTAGAGTTTCACATTTTTATATGGAAGTCTTGTATGGGAGGGTGTAGTTGGTTTCTTTTAATATATCAAAGCTTCTTTGAAAGCAAATTCCTAAAAAAAAACAGTGTGTGTCTCTTAATGCTGTGGGAGGTCTCATGACAGAGTCAACTTATAACAACGACTTGATTAACCTCAATCCTGAATTTTATCAAAAGGTTACAAAAAGGGGTTAAGCTTTAAATATTGCTGTCACCACTGAGCTGTAGCTCAGGAGGTAGCGCAGGGCACCTACTGATCGGAAGGTGGGTGGTTCGATCCCTGGCTCCTCCAGTCTGCATTTCAAGTATCCTTGGGCAAGATACTAACCCCAACTTGTTCTCCATCGGAGTATGAATGTGTATGAATGTCGTTAGAAAGCACTAAGTGTAGATTAAGTGCTTGTGAGAATGGGTGTGATTGGGTGAATGAGGCATGTTGTATAGAGCGCTTTGAGTACTCCGTGAGAGTAGAAAAGCGCTATATAAGAATCAGTCCATTTACCATTACCATAAATACTTGAAATGTAATGACAATAAAACTAATTGGAAAATACGAATCTATAACAGCTCTGCTGAAACCTCCCGTTGCTATTCTGTATGCAAAGAAGAATTCTGCATGTATCATGTGAATGCATTCAAGCTAAATTAATTAATGACAACAATAACAGCAAGTTCAGAGATGAGACTAATGAGAAAAGACAAAACCCACGAGCACAGTTTAGAACTGACCATTTATTTAAACTGAATAGCATATGCGTACAAAGTCTCTACAAAGCTAGAAAATATCTAACATACCTTTAGCCATGAGGGGGGAGAAAGTTACAAAGCAAAGATCAGACCCTGTGCAGTACCAATAGACACACATCACTAGCTTTTGGATTTCTCCTAAATGTACTCTCTTCACAAAATAGGATAAACATTAGAATATCAACATCTGTAATAAACGTTATTGTCACTTTTATACAAAGCACCTTATCAAAAACCCCTCGGTGCACGACACACGCGTGCTGCACCGGAGCGAAAAAGATTCAAGGCCATTTTGGAATTGATTACAGACAGGATTTCTGCGCCTCACGTGATCCGTAATAGAAGATAATATCCAACTTGCACATACAAGACGACATTAACAACACAGACGACAATGACTGAAAAACTCAGTGCTTCACTGGACTTTGTGACCTTTTGAACGACCTTTTAGACTTCACTGCTTTAGTGTTATTTTATTGTCACCACATATTCTCCAGCTGATTACAGCAAATGGACAGTTAACAGTTAAGCTGTGCAGCTGAGTCCTTGTAATGTTTAACGGACAGTTAGAGCATTTTAATGAGTCACAGTTTAAAGAAGCCTTTTCCTGACAGCCAAGATGGTAAGGGGCGTCCATTTTTGATTTAGTTTTTTTATGTTCATTAAGCGAGCTTTAATAAATCACTTTCCTCTTTACTTTGTGTCACATGACTGTCTTTGGTAAGCAGGTGCTAGATACTGTTTGGACAGAGGGTCATAGCTGCAGCTTTTGTTGGGCTATCACTTGCACGTTACGTGTCCATCCTCCTGCAGAAGGCCTAGTGTTCGGTCTACAAACAACAAATACTGGAGTGTGAGCCACAAGTCTGGGAAAGTCAAGAGCAGGGGAATTTCCTAGCGGGATGATTCACGAGTGTGAGGGGGGAAAGCGTGGTTTGTAATCCCGACAGACACCCACAGGGGTCTTTAGTTTAACAGAGTCAAAACCTAGTGGTTTTGGATAAACACTAATCCATTTCAGCACAAAGGCAGGAGACGTGAATCACGTGTGAGTCATAACTTGTTGAGGCTAAATTTTGAACAGCTGGCCATTTCTGAGCAAAGATGTGTCATTTGAGGTTTGAAGTTCCTACAAGTTACTGGATCTTCTGAACACCGCAAAGCATTTTCGGCCAACATCATTGTATCAAGGTTTTCTTATTAAAACATAAAAATCTCTGGGCCTCATTTATTCACATTGCTTCATTTTTCCGACCTTCTAGTGTTTAAACAGATTCCCACATGTAAACAAAAAAAAAAAAAGAAATCTTTAAGAGCTGCAATGAGTTACAAATCATGGATTTTAATTCCAAGAGAAAGAAGCTTATCCAGATAAATCGGTAAACCTAGTCAGTGTAGCTTATTATAGCTGCCTTTTCAGTCTAACTTGAAAGAATCAGTTTGGCACTCTAACAAATACATTTCTTGTTCGGTTTGTTGTGTGAAAGCTGCTAATGCCATGAGTTTATCACACCATGAAAACATGTGGAAACAGCAAAGCTAAAAGTGAAACTGCCTACTTCTCAAAAGTATGCTTGGACTGCTGGAACAAGTCTGAGAGCAGGCAGTCTGACTCAGTTTTAATTCATTAATCTATTACTTTTTAAAACTAGCCTTCCAAACACCGGTGGTTGGGAATACAGGCCAAACTTGCAGAAAATCTGCAAAAGCTAATTATGAGTACGCTAAGCTAAGCTAACCAGCTATAGGTATGCGAATATATAACAAGACAAGATGATTTGAGAGCTGGTTGACTTTTAGCATTTCTTCTTATTTTTTAAACTGCCTAACTTGACTATATGCTTTTTTTTTTAAAACATACCAAACAAACACAATATAATATGTGAATTTGCTAGCTTTAGAAGGGATTATGAGCACTGTTTCCACTTGCTTTCATTGCTATGCTAAGCTAAGCTAACCTGCTAGCTGTAGCTGTATCAGACAGAGATATTAAAGTTGTAAAAAGTTAATTGATGGCATCCACTACTTTTAACAGCGTCTATATAAAACAGATAATCAAAATGATTCTACAGCAGGTTTGTAAGAGCAGGTCGTCCAAACAGTGACAAGTCCAAACAATTGCATTTTATGAACGAGGCGCCAGGTAATATCTAGTGCACAAGCTCTGTCTACATGAATCCGTCATACATGTAATAAACAAATGCAAATACATGGAATAAATACTGCCAATAGATACCACATGAACAAGAATTTATCCCAAAGACATCAGAAAAAATTGAAAAATTAATCAGGACTGTCCACAAATTAAATTAAAGAACCACTTTTACATGGAATTTGGATAAACTGATCCCAGGACACAGAAAACAGGGGCATGTGGGACCAAAATGTTCCTGTACAATAAAATGTTTTTGTTTTTTTGTCCCATGCACCACCTACAACATCAAATTATCAGGACTTTTGGGAAACACAATAGAAATGTCTAATGCTGTTTCCAGCCAAAGGCACTTCATGCTGCTGGGCATGACACAGACAAACCACCAGACGACACCTGCTACAGTACACTCCATCGAGAGTTTTTGGTTTTTTAAAATTCATAAATTACTTTTTAAATATTATATAACCAGAAAAACCTGTGTTGTAGTGGTTGAGGGGAACTGTGTCATCTAGAGTTAAAATAACCCTGACACTGAGGTGAGAATGCTTCTGGTCAGGGCTGTCCCATCTAAATATGGATGTAATATTCAGGCTTGCTTGTATGGGCATGGTCATCACACTTACCTAAGATAACATTAAAGGGGACATATTATACTTTTCCTTGTTTTCCATCATATATAAAGTTAAAATGGTGGACACTTGGAATAAACTAGGCCAACATTTTAAATAATATGTCCGGGTATGTATAAGTAATCCCTGTGAACCAAAAGCTCAGGTTTCTGCTTCAGATAGCAAAAAAACAAAACAAAACAAAAAAAAACCTCTGTGTACAAAAGCCCCGCCCACCTGCTGAGCCTTCTGTTTGCAGGAAGTGGCCAATTAGAAGAAGTTGGGTTTAATAATGGGAGGCTGACTCAGACATTGAATGAACTGAAGGGCTACATCAAGGACCAAAATAAGATAAAGGAGGATTATTTTGAACTGTGACGCATGCAAAGCTACTCTAGGAGACTAAAAGAATGAAAATTTGGAAATGAACACAATAGGTCCCCTTTAAGTTGCAAAAGTAATTTACACAATAAAAACAGCAGTAAAACTTTTTTCCCTACGTGTACACCATGAATGGCAATGTATAAGGTTTAAAATTCACAGTGCTTTTCAGTAGACCAGAGTATGCTTCAGATTATAATCCTTAAGATCTGCAAACTCATATTAATAGTTGATCATAGTTTGTAATCACATTTCTATCTGTTAATCACCCCTCTGGTTGACAGCTGTCACGGTTTGGGATGAAGCCTGCAATTCCACGTTGAATCCATTTATGGAATCCAGTTTTAGCATTTCTAATGACGTCTCAGTGACGTCAGTTTCACCGTTTGCCGTTCTCCCACAGAGCTGGCATTTCCTACAGCTGCTGCTTCACAATAAAAGCCCACAAAACAGGATTCTGAAATCTTGAGGATTATAATTTCGTTAGTCTTTTAAGCAAAATAAAGAGTCACCTGTTGCACAAAAAAAGCTACCTGAATTGTTCAATTTCACTTATAGTTTCTTATTATTAACATAAGGTTTAGATAGTGATTGTGGAATTAAAATAGAATCTCTATGCTATTATCAATAAACAACTCCCCAAAGTTTAGAAGATTTTTTTCTTTTCTTTTTTTTGTAAAGAAAACATACAAAAAGGTAAAAATTTGATTTCTTTTTCTTTGGGACAAACCTCTTGTATAAGAATTCAGCTCACACAATTTGCAGTGTCCATCTGTACAAATCCACCTCTATATTCTACTATATGATAATGCAGTAGTGTTATTTCCTCCAGCTTTCTCTGCTTATTGATGATACACAGGGTCTGACCTTCAGCGCCTGTCAGTTTCCTGACAGATAACACACGGGGGGGAAATTATGAGATCTCACTCTCTCTGTTTTTTGTTGTTTTTTTGTTTTGTTTTTCTCCCCCTCTCTTTCTTTCTTCTCCCTGGGTCGACTTTCACCAAAACTCATGACAGAAACACCACTTTCATTTCCATCATCAAGATAGGAAAGAGGAAAAAAAGACAGAAAAGAGAAAAAACTGGGAGAAAGAGAAGAAGGAACCAATTAGTGGAGACGTGACATCCCCTGGTGATATCAGAGTCAGGATGTTCTTGGGGAAATGCACCAGGTCGATTCTGATGTGTTTTTATGGCTGCACTGCCACTGTGCTTTTTTTATTATCATTATAGCTAATGAGCTACCGATCACCAGGTTTGGAGTTAGTGTGGATATGCTCCTGTTGAGGAGGTTTCTGCGGTGTCACATCTGGTGTTAATTAAAAAAAATATTTTTACCCCCGTTATTTTCAGTGAAAATGCAGCCTTTTTCTTTTTTTCACGAATTTGTTTGGCTGAAACTAATTTTTAGAGACATTTTTAGCTCTGATGTCACAAAAAAGGAAAAAAAAAAAACACCAAGCAAAGGCCATACATGTGTTTCAACGTGAGTGTGTATATGTGTGTGTGTTATTCCTTGATGAGTCGATAGATGTGGTGCTGTGCTCCGTGCTCGTTGTTGGACACCTCGAACACACACGCCATACACAGCAACGTTTCCTGAGTGTCTCTGTTGCTCACCACCTGGAAACACACACACGGGAATGAAGAACACACAAGAGGTCAAGGTTAAGCACACTCGTATACATATATCATTCGAGATCAAGAACTGCACAAGTATACTTCTAAACTCTTATCCTCCTTAAGGCAACAACTAATATTTCAACATGTATTCACAGCTGTAGGATATAGAAGACAATATGCTTATACAAAGCACATGAAACAATTACAGCACCTGAACAAAAGCACTTTAAAAGGTCTACCAATGCAGAAAGGTGCCACTGAGAAATTCACATGCACAGTTTTAGTAGCACACTGAAGGTGCTGGTTTATGGAGAAAACCAGAGTTTGGTTAATCCCATTTGTTTTGGGGTTGTGTGATTTTTGCAAAAAAAGTGGATAAAGTAGCAGCGAGAGCTCTGCACAGACGCTGAAGAAGATTCTCATTATCTATTCCCAGTGAATGTAGTGTCACAGAGACCTGGCACCGGCTGGTGTTAAAGGGGACCTACGCTGCTCATTTCCAGTTTCATGTTTTTATTCTTGGACTCCACTAAGGTGGCTTTGCATTAGTTTAAAATCACTCTTGTTTATTTTGTACTGGATCTTGGTGCTGCCCCCAAGTTCATTCCATAGACTGTATATAAAAGTAGGTCAACACAGATGCTGACTAGTGAAATCCTGTTGTGAAGTCTTGAGCTAAGCTTTTTCACTGCTGTCATCTTCCCATTTAAAGCCAGACATGATGAGGGAGGGGTTGGTCTGCCTGGGAAACTGAGACACACTGAAGCTCATGTTGTAAGAACTGCTCCATCACCTTCCCTGCCTTATCTTCCCGTGTGTTTGATGGGAAGTAGGATCTTAATATACTCCTCTTTGCAACCAGCTTGATGAATCAACCACTTTGATGTTCCATTCCTTTTCCAGACCTAGAATCTGTGTGTGGCGGGGCGTGGTCTGTGGTGCCGTTGCAGGGGAGATGGATGCACGTGCACGACATCGGCAGTCACGCGTCGTCGGCTGGAAGATCTGCACTGGGTCCTGGGTTATTGTTGTTGGTGATGCGTGCGGCTGGCAGCGGGAGAGCTGAGGCCATTCGTGTGTGTTTAACAGCAACCGAGTTAATAAAGAGATGCTGAAAAGCACAAGCCTGTGGTCGGGTCCGTCATTAATGCCATACTGTACATCTTTGATATACAGTCTTTACCTTATCCACTCTCTAAAGCAAGCGGTTTTAGCTCTTCTCCCTTTAAAATCTCCCTCTCTGTAATCCAGCTTTCTACTGATTGGCTGTCAGTGTGAGATGATCATATTAAGGATATTAATAATTAGCTTCTATGACTCTGACATCACAGAGGTCTAAGAGTTTAAAAACTCAGTTTTTAGACAGGATGAAACCGGAGCTTTTATCTCATGGGGATTACCTGTACATATGTTGACCTCATTATTTGAAGCTTCATGTTTAATATAAGCAATCGCCATGATAACAGTAACGATATAACAGAGAATGAGGAAAAGCGGAAGAGACGTCCCAGACTTGGATTAACTGCATTAGTGTAACATTTTCACCCATCGAGAGAAGGAAGGTGGTAAATATATATTTGCATAACATAAACAGTACAGCACACAGAGAGACGCACCAGCAAAATAGTGAAGTTCTCCAGCACGCTGTTCATCATGTATTTCTCCGGCAGGTGTTTGAGCTTGTGGATGAAGTTGATCATGTATTCGCACATCGGCGAACGACTGATTCTGTAGACAAAACGCCCGTTTTCAAACCTCGCGTACTCCGTCTGTGAGAGAGGGGGAAGCAAAGGAAGATGCTTTAGCCAAATAATATTACACAACGCACCAATGAAAGGCACCTCCATCAGTTTTACACATCAAAAGCAGCTTTCTAGCGAAAAGCTCAGCCTTTGAAAATGGTTGTGTAACATTATGTGCAGCTGTGGAAAACTGTCAGGCCTGACATAATCATTTTTGCTAGTGTCATAAGGGATTATTTGATGCCATCGAGGGCTTAAGGTGAAGAAAATGAAGGATGTGGTGGTTTTAAAGCCCACATAGGGAGTTACAGGACATTTTGCAAGTATCAATATTTTTTCAGTCTGAATGCAGAAATCACCTGCTGTGTGAATAAACCCCACATGTTTCTATTTAGCAGTTATCCTCAGTCCTCACCTCAACCTTCTCAACCACCTGCTTGCCAAAGGAGCAGACCTTGGTGGAGCAGGTGATTGTCATGTTCTCCGAGCTCTCGTACTGGCTGGTCACACCATAGAAGGCTGCGGGGTCGTCCTGCACGTTATAATTCAGGTCCGCCTGGAAACCACAGAGCAAAGACGACAACGCAAACATCAGGTCACAGAAAACAAGCACGTTTAGTCCTGTTGCTTTTCTGAAGCTAAAGTTTTCCGACAGTGCCCTCTGCTGGTACTGCACCATAAAAGGTCTCCAGAGGACGAGCAGATCCATGATTATGATGCTGAAACTGACATGAAAATGCAATGTGCAACCTTATTTTTCAGTACATGAAGTAAAAGAATCATCTCCGAGACTCTTCCTCCATCCATCAGTGCAGAGTGCTGTTTTAATTGGGCACTAAAATGTTCTGAAACCTTGCATATGCATGTTTATCTCCTTAATCACCTCATAAAACAGTTAAAATGCAATTTGTTGTGTAATCTTTAGAAGAAGAAAAAATGTATTGTTGTAAAATGTGGGGATTGACCTTTATAACATCCACATTTGTTTGTTTGTTTTTTTTATTTGAACCAAACCTTTATGCAGGTGTTTTATGAGACAGGAAAGAGGCAGGTACAGGGGGGAAACAGAAGAAAGAAACATTTTCTTATACAACTTTGTGCGACTGAAGTTGAAGCAGAAAAATGTTTAATCAGAGCAGAGAGAACACGCTGCACCTGGACTGCAGGCAGGGAGGAGCGAGGAAGGGTTTGTACTGTTTGTAATGAGTCCTCTGAGGAGCACCGTGCGTCTCGGGGCTCAGAGAACACACAAACACAAACACCATATGCTTACTCACTTACATTTACATCCATTCACGTGCACACAAACATCAAACCGTGCTCTATTAAAGCTGCAGATTATCAGAAACACACTCCATTGTGGTAGATCTGAGAGCTTTTTAATTAAATTCAAGGGAAGGCTCTCTACATGACACACACACTCTCTCTTTATTTGTTCGCATGCTGCAAGCACACCTCACCACTTCACAAGCCTGCAGGCTCCTGTCCTCTCCTGGATTATTTCTACTGTCCAACAACCTCCTCACCTCACAGTGATTTTGTCGGTTGACCAGCCCCACCCCAGAACAGGAGTTCTCCAGTCATGGAGCTTAGCAGCCGCAACTAACAGGAAGCCTTGGATTTCTGCTCATGTTGAAGCAGTGCAAGTGTAACACATGCAAAGAGGATGGTGTCGTTTTAGAATTACATTTATGACAATGACGGAAAGAGGAAAAGGTGTCGAGAATAGATCGTCTGCTGTAACATGAGCTCATCTAGCTAGCAAATCAGTGTGACTCCTACTAAGCTAACTTGCTTACGAATTAGGGCTGTGACAACATCTGATATCCAACTCGAAATGCTTGTGGTTAAAAAGAATTACACAATATCCACTTTATTTTACTTCTCCAGGCAAGGATTTTAGCTACTCTGATTAGCGACTAACAATACAATGTAGCCACACGGTCACAGAACATCAACTCAAAGGCCACCACAATGCTACAGCATAATAACTATGACATAGCATCATCAGACTGAAGTACTGTCTGAAAACATGAAGATAAAAGCCAGTATGTTTTTCCACCGTGAGCACTGAAAGCATCCAACAGCTCAGTTTGTCAATCACCAAATCCAATTACTTTAATTGACCCATTCATCTGAGATGATTCTAAGAAAAACTACTTACTACACCTTTACACACATTTAATTCATATTGCAAATGACAATGACGTTTTTATCTATAGATCACATTTCATTACATGTAAACTCAATCCACCTGACGCAGAAGATAGAGACATAAAAACCTGTGTATGTTTGCAATGCCTTAAGGCAGTCAAAGCTGCACAACAAAACAACGCCAACGCCTATTAAGCGAAGATCTGTGTAAATAAAAAGGTTTGGGGTCTGTTGTTGAATGTATGCACACATGTAACTGAGAAGAGAGTAGCTTGTTCCAAAAAACAGCAACACAATAGCTGAAAGCGTCCGCCTATGGCGTTATTTTTGTGCCACTATTCTGAGCGCACGTAAAAAAAGTTTGCAGGTGTAAGTGTTGCATTTTGAGGAGAAATTTATTTTGAGCGAAGAAAAGCTGAATTTGAGTGAACAAAATTCATTCCTGCAACGCCTGTTACCCACCAGCTGACCGGGTGGTCACTCAGGTTAAACATAATATATGAGGCTGAACTGACAAAAAATCACCGACTACACCACCAGGTATTATAGGAAAAACAATAAAGCCTTTGAACTAAAACAAACGCTGTTGTGACAGTGACGTACACGGTCTTGTTGGTATATATGTATGATTTATTTCACCTTCATGTTTCCAAACCGATATGATGAGCAGCAGCTTTTACAGCTGTGGCTCCAGCAAACATCAGCTGATACTAGAAATTAATTTTAAATCAATTCTAACAACAGCTGATCAAGCTTGAATGTGCTGCTGTTGTTGTTTAGCGCAACATCTGCTGGTTTCCTGTTTCTGGCGCAAAGTGGGAGATAAACAAACAAGAGAGACGATCAGCTGATCATTGATCAGTTTCATGATTGAAGTAGCAACAGGAGAGAGAGGGGAGAAGATGAGAGAAGAAGAGGCAGCTCACAGCGTAAAGACAGAATAACTCCAGCTTTGTGTCTTTTTCATTGTAGCTGAAGTCCGGGACTAATCGCGTTCCTTTTCCCCTCAATACGGATGTATTGTAATTGGTCCAGCCCAGAGTTGATCATGACGAATTGGCTAATCCACCACCTTTCATTGTTTATACAGTTACAAAAACAAACAAACATAAAAATGAAAAATCATCATCGGCTCACCGGGGCCGGTTCCAGTCCAGCTATGCGGTCAGCTGGTGGGTAACAGGCATCTCCGAAAACGTTAGAGCACTTATGGAAATGTGTGATGTCTTGATGAATCGAGGAGATATTAGAAGTTTACACAGCACCATTCTCGCATGAAAATATCTTAAAAGTTTATTTTCAGACCCAGAAAGAGTAATATTTCAAACTCCGCCACTCTGTGTTCCTCCGCCACTGCCTCGATTGAGTTTTGGACGAAATGGATTCTGGGATATTGCATTTTGTCATTTCGAGCTGATTGGAGACCAAAACAGCCAATCAGATTTTTTTGCATCCAAGTCTGTGATTGGCTGGTTTGTGGCACAAATATAACGGTGTAGAGAAAGAGTTGAGCGCGCACGGGCAGAAATGTTTAGAGTGCGAGCAACACATTGCGAGCGAGTGCAAATGCAAAAACTGACCGAACTGAGGGGCTGCTATTGTGCGTTTGTATGGATAATAGCAAACACTGAAATACATTTTTTGCACGCAGCAATGAATTTTGTTCACTCAAATTCAGCTTTTCTTCACTCAAAATAAATTTCTCCTCAAAATACAACACTTGAACCTGCAAACTTTTTTTTACGTGCACTCAGAATAGTGGCACAAAAATAACGCCACAGGCGCCCACTTAGATCCAATTATTGTCATCTTACTGGGTTTTTTGTTACTGACTTTTTTTCGTAGAGGCTATAAATTATTAGTTTGAGAGTCGGATTTTTGGAAGTCCTATGGTACAGAGGAGTTCTGAGAAAGGACAGTAAAGTCAGCACACACACACACACACACACACACAGGTGAAAACAGCTACCTGTGAGTCTGGAGGTGAGCAGGTGTTCAAACAAAGCATCTGCGCTTTCATCAACCCACCACCTCCATATTCCAGGTGGACAGATGGAACTCACACAAGCACACACACACACACACAGTGCTGCGTAGAAAAATAAGGGAACTTTCCCTGGGTGGGGGCAGAGGTGCATGGAATGCGGTTCTTGCTGACCCTACTTGGTGACGTCCAAAGCATTTTCAGGAGGAAAAAACATTAACCTTAGTCCAGAAATATTTTTAAGATATTTGACAGGTACTGGAAAAAAAAACTCAAGTAAACAGGAAACTGATTAAAAGTTTGTCTGCTTACCCAGAATTTGATCAGGTAGAAGGCGTTTTGTGGGCCCTTATCAAACAGCTCCTTCAGACCTCCCTTCTTCTCGGGGAACTTGTCGTAGATTTGCCGGATGTCCACACACTCCAGCAGCGGATCGCTGTAGCTCAGGCTGCTCTGGCTGATGTGCACAAAAAGGTGCTTGTTGTACTGAGAAGAGAGAAACATTTGAATCAGACGGACGCCAGAAATGTGGAGATAAACACACTGGGTACACCTAAAGTTACTTCAAGGATCCTGCTATAACTTTTCACTGTAATTTTGAACCTAACAGAGAAACAGAAAAATATAAAGTTAGATCAGCAATCTGGTGGATTGTTAAAAGAAAGACTGCACGTCATCACAGCACAACCAAAAGCCAACAAGACCACAGAAGTCATTGAAAGTGCAACGAGTTATCTCCATGGTTTAGAAAAACAACTTATCGACATGAAACACAGTCAAGAACACTCATGAATTGAGACGCTACCGTTCATCGAGGTTGTCAAGTTCTGCAACCAAGAGACAAGCTACTCTCTCCCCCCGAGGACCCAAAAAACCCTCAGAAATGTTTCTATCACTAGCTGTGATCTCAACCCAGCAGATCATGTTGTTCATTACTGAACTAATGGCAGAGAAAACACCCAAACAAGCCGCCACTGAAGGAAGCTGCAGTAAAGGTCTAGCAGAGCATCTCAAGGGAGGAAACACTCGATGGTGTCCATGGGTTCTCCACTTCAGGCAGACTGCAAATGGCTTTCATCCAAGCAGTGAAAAAATCCTCATAATACCTTTGAGCCTCTGAAAACAGGATTGTGTATAAATGGCTGTAATTCCTCAACAGTTAATGCAAATTTAGTGTTAATTCCCCTGAATTAAAGCTGAAAGCACTTCAGTCAGAGCTTCGTTGTTTGATTTAAAGTCAAACGCTGCAGTCGCTGCACAGGCAAAGCTGCAAAAACTGTCTTTGTCCAAAAGATTAGGAACCTAAATGTGTGGTTATCATTTAATCGTTAAATTTAAGTCAGGTTTTATCAATTATAACAAACTGAATGCAAGCATAGCTGCTAGAAGTTATGGCTAAAACTACAAAATTAAACTGAGGGATAAACTGCTAATAATTCAACTGTAATCTCAGTATCCATGTAAGCTGCTGATTAATACGCTTATGTTGAAAGCAAACTTCAAATTTCTATTTCTGAGCTCAAATAGAGGCTTTACTGACTTACTCCCACTGACCAGTTTCAGAACAGGACCACGGCAACTTTACTGGGCTGTTCTCTGACCTGCTTTTCTTAGACAGGGTGTGAGTTTGTTTGGCTTTGCAGCACAATAAATCATACAGTTTAATGCAATATTGGCCAGCTATACAGATCACAGAGGGCAAAAAACTTAATAGAAAGATCTGCTAGTCTGGTTGGTTAAAAAAAATACATAATTTCTGCATTTTTACCCAACTTTGTCTTTGCCTACTGATAAATCTGCATGTTAAATGTGACTTCAGTGGGATGGCTCTACATTTAAGGACTCCATTTATTCCCACTAATGTAAATGATGCCGTTTGACAACAGAATCTATTTCACTGTACAACAAAGTCACTGTACAACAGTTTTTTTCCCACTAAGCAAACAAAAAGCAACAAGATGAATGCCAGCTGTCTATGAGCCCAAGGTAGAAAAATGGCAGTGAGTACGCAGCGTGGCAGGATGACAGATAGACTGAGCAGACAGAGAGATAGAGCTTTACAAAGGTTATTCATACTAGGCGACACACAAAGGGCTTTAACGCTGTTCTCTGCTGTGGGGTTATCTGTCATCTCTGTTTATGGGACAATAGGGAGTGCTTATTGTAGTCTGGTGCTGGATATGTGTGCATGTGTGCAGAGTAACTCACTGCCTCCTGGTCCCTCTGTGTCTCCAGGAAAGATGAAAACTCCACCAGTCGTAGTTTGGTGGTGCCGATGGAGCGACCCTGCCATGCCGGCTCTCGGTGCGTTTGGGCTGCACTGGGAGGTTCATAGCCTTGAACACACACACACACACACACACACCATTTAATCCCACTTCACCACTGCAACATGTTCAATCGTGCTTTTTAACGGGCTTAGCAGTAATGTAAACGTGTAAAACTTTAAGCCATTACTGGAGGCCCGAGGACAAAAGCCGGCTGAGGTAAAGGCGAGGCACTAAAAAGCGGTTAACAACAGTATATGTAAAGGGGTAACAATGCAGGGGCCACAGCGAGACCCCCGGTTGCTGCCTCAAAACTCACTCACTCCATTTTCAAAAACCTCGCCACTCTCGTCACTTAGTTTCATGCTATTGTAACTAGCACACCCCATCATCCAATCTGAAGAGAGGAAGCTCAACAGTGCCGGGTGAGCCAAGTGACGCGGCGCCTTCTTAAATTCATGAAACGTAACTTTTGTTGACCTCATCTGTGGTCAGTCATGTGGCTGGCTCAGTTCTGGCTCAGTCTTTTTCTGATTTGTCATGAGTGGATAAAAGATTAGAGATGTTTTGGGGCATTTCCAGTGGCCGTGGTTACCTAATTTTCTGACAAACTGTCAAATTTTAACTTTTTCAAGTCAAGCACGCACTAAGGAACTAGTTTGGGTGCCCTGTTCCACATTTGAGAGGACAGGCCACGCAGCTGAGGTTGTTTTCCACTCTGAAACAGCAAAGCTAACAAGGTGTGTGCAATCAACAGGTCAGCCAATAAAACTAACTTTTGTCATTTCATTAGTTTTTCATTGTTTGACAGGATCGTAATATAAAAATTAGGTAATATATTTAATAAAAATATTAAAAATGAGACCACCTCCAACTTTCTCAGTTGGTACCATCATGTAGCGATGGTGAACAGAGGCCACGCTAAACCTAAACTTGCTGAAGAAACTGGCTGTGCGCTGCTTGTCTGTCATCTTAACCTCAGTGACGTTCCTCGCCACATATCTCTTGTGGTCGCGTGTGGCCTCCAGCTTCACCCTTACGTGGACTCTCACTCTCCTCTGGGAGTTCACTTCTTCCCTGTCACCTTAAAGTGTTTCTTCTTTATACTAAGCAGTTTTTGTGGATGGCTGCGGCTCAGGAGGTAGAGTGGTTTGTCTACTAATTGGAAAAGTGGTTCGATCCCTGGCTCCTCTGACACCTGTATGTCAAGTATCCTCGGGCGAGATACTGAACCCCGAGTTCTCCTGATGCATCATTTTTTTCAGTTAGGCAAAGAAAAAGCACTTTTGTGAATGTGTGTGTGAATGAGGCTTGGAGTAGAAAAACACCAAGAGCTTAAATTGAATAGAAAACAAGTACAGTCCATTTACCATTTCTTTTAGGTCACTAGGTATCCCAGGCTTGGTCTCAAAGTAGCATACAGGCCTGGCTCGTATCATCACAAAATTGGATCTATTCTTTGATGCAGCCAGTCGAACTAATAATGTCGTCTGATGTAGATTCCAGACTGTAGACTCAAAGCAGCTCCTCTGGATAAAGGTTGTAACAAGAGGAACCAACTTCGGTGTGAGCAGCACTACATTATGGACACGTCACTGGGTATAGTTGTCTTTCTTGCTAACATTATCGGCAGCAAAATCATATCCGAGGGATATTTCTATCTGGATAGCTTGCCAGCTGTTTAATGGCAGATGTATAAGTTGACTTTTTGCAGTAATAGTCAATGTGTGAGCACGAGCTGCACACTAATGTCCTCAACACTGGAGTTCACTCAGCGGCAATGGAGGTCATTATTGATAATGGTTTTCTGAGGTTACACAGAGTTTTTAAGTTGACAGGACCAAATGAGCGCTGCTTGCTATCCTGCTACTCCTTGTATTAAAGGGTATATGGCTCCAAGATTAAAATTACTAGCATTTTCAGGCAGTAAACAGACAGGCTCAGCAGCTGCACGCAAGCTGCAAAAGCTATGCCAAGCAATCAAAGTGCAATTTTCCCAGGAATTGCACTTTCCACCTGATATTTTCAAAGCTGCTTCTAGAAAAAGCAACACAAACTTTTAGTACAGATGACGTAAGAAAAGTCAGATCGACACCTTTTCCCTCTCACGACCTCTTCACGATACAAAAGCGGGAGTGCTGGAGACCCAGGTGTTCAGACAGATTCAAAAACCATCCTGTAGTGAGGCAGCGGTCTAAATGGCAGGAGACAGGACTGCGAGTCCGCTTTAAAAAAAAGAAGATAATTGCGCTGTGGTCCGTCTCACCTGAGATCGTGGTGGTCCCTGCTGTCTGCACAGAGTAGGCTTGCTGAGAGAAAGGCTTGATGCTGAGAGAAACAGAGACAGAAGCAGAAAGGAAGCATTGTCACTGTACTTACATTATACAGCGAGGAAGTCTGCTGTGCATCTTGTATGAACAGTAGTAGAAGCACAGAGATCAAGAGCAGCTCCGAGTTCAGTAAAAGCTATACCAGCCCTATTTCCAACCATTATCATCATCTCACGGGCACGTAAGAGCAGCAGGTGATGAAATGAAAAGGGGGTTTGAACTTGGTGCAGCTAGCCATGTGAACAGAAACTAGGCCAAGAAACCAGCTTAACCATGTTGGAAATCAAATGTACCGTTATTTTCTAAGGAATTGGAAGATTCCACGTGTCACTCCTGCAAACTAATCAGATTTATGACTTCTGAATTGCCACCTTGTTTAAACATCCATTCATTTATTCTGATTGCATGCATCTGGATGTGTCTGCGAGACTCTTGTTATGATTCTGTGTGCTGCAAAAAATGCATCAATAACTTTAAGCCAAATCCAGACTGACAACACTGAGAAATCTTTGTGTGTTTGAGTTCTGGCTTGTCATATTTCAAAAAGCACTTAGTAGTAAATGGGATGAACCCTCTCTGACATTTCAAAAACATAGCGAGTACTCAGTAATAATGTCTACAGCCAGAGGAGTGAAAAACTCCTGATGTGAGGGTTTACAAGTTCACTTAAATGAAACAAAGTGCATGTTTCACTGTGTTTAGTACAGTTAGTGGTTAGTATGGCCACTGTCGGTGAAAATGGAAATTACAGAGCAGTTTAAGATTTAAAAACTTACAAATTTAGAAGACATCTCATAGATTTTGGGGGGGAAAAATAGGTCTTTTTTTCTCTTGGTCAACGAACTATATTGTGTTACTTTGCAAAGGTGTAACAACCTCTTCACACCAGTGCTGCTGCCGGTGCTTGACATGTGTTATGCCTCCAGTGGATGAACTAATCAAATTTTAGCCTTCTTAGCAATCGGATTAAGCCATAAGAAATTACCCGTGATTTTAGAATGACCTGTAACCACATTGAGCATACTATCAGAAGCATCCCGGCTTCACGGTGCTGTAAATTGGGCCTATTTAGAAGAAAACAATACGCTGATTTGGGAGAACTGACAGCTTATCAAGTTCCTTGACTTAAAAACGAAAATCTCCCAAGTGTTTGCTTGTGAATTCTTAACTTTATCGACAGATTTTACTTTCAAATCATCGCAATCTTTCCATAAAGTCGTGAATTGATCTCAAGTTATTTCTCAAATCCTATCCCACACCTGCAGACCAGTCGCTGTTATTTCATTTTACTACAAAAGGGCATAATATGCATGATAGTTTGCAGTTGTGCAAGCATGGACAAAAGAGAAAACATGTAAAGTTGGATGAGAACGTGTAAGGTGACTGCGACTCACTCTTCTGCGGTGGAGCTGGACTGTCCTCCAGGAATCATCCCCTGCCACAGCTGGAAAGACACACATGCACATTAATACACTGGACTGAGAATGCAAACCATGCATGCAATGCAATCTCTGCATGTTTTTTGTGCACTGCCACTTCAGATTGCTTTATTTCTATTCATCCCCTACTCCCTGTATTTATTCACAGAGAATAAATACAGCACATCTGTGTATGTATGCATGTATGTATGCACGTGTGTGCGCAAGTATTACCTGTGCATTAGCAGGGAAGCTGGCACGGACTATCCCAGGCAGCAGCTTGCTGTGTATGGCCGTGGCTGAGACGATCTGAGCAGAGGACATGGAGGAGATGCTCTGCAGAGCTTTCTCCTTGGCATTCTGGTCCTGCATGTAAACAAACACCACACACTCATTAACATCGTCATTCCTCTGAACATTGTCATTACCGTGCAGCTTGTGCAGATCAGCAGTGAGTCATAAAAAGCCGGAAAATTCATGAAATTGAGAAGAAGAATCTGAATTGTCTTGAATAATGGAATCTTAAATATTAAAGCTTGAGGGGAAAACACTGTCCCTGTGTGACTGGATGTGATCAGGCTGCCACTTTCCTGCTACTTTTTGATTGCACAAATTAACGTACAGCAATTTAAGTAAACTGCCCAACATGGAGCAGCTCATTTGCCAACAAAACACCGTGTAGCTCCAAGCGAACAATTACAGGAGCTTCTTTTACACCCTTATCAGGGTCAGGCTACATTCTTTCGTATCTAAATCTCTTGCTTTGTAAAAAACTGTCCCTGTGACGTTTCAGAGCGATTCAGGGGACAGGGCTTTGTCTTTTTGTGCGTGTCATTTGGGTGTGGTGATGTTGCTTGTGGCCTCGAGGGAAAATCATGGCGACATGAGTGGTGAGCGGCGAGGACAAAGTGTACAGCAGAGCTGAATGTGCTTCAGACGGCGCGGTGAACATTGCTGATCAGAGCTGCTGCCTCGGGGCAAACGATAACATATAGCAGATTTATAAGCTTGATGGTGTGGGCTTATTTATAACGTGAACAAAAAGGCAGCATGAAACTCATGAAACAGCTGAAAGAAATGGAATTAGAGCCACTGCCATAGCTGGAGAATCACTAATTGGCTGCTTCACTCAAGTTAATTGGCACTGAGAGAAATCTCTCCTCCTAGGGGAGGTAATAACATTATAGGAGGCACTGAAATGGGAATCATGCTGGATTTTCATATTAAATACCAGGAGCCATATGGGTATGATAACCACCTTGACCTCAACTCATTCCTTCAAAATCACCAATGATCCTGTTCCTGTTGAATGAGGAAGTATTATGAAATCCACACAAAGAGTCGCATACGTAGTTTGATTTTTAATAGATGATCAGAAAATGTATTAAATCTGCGAAGCAGCAAATGTTACTCGGACAGCAGACACACTATCTGATGATCTTGTATCTTGAATGGTCTCATGGTCTGGGATGTGATCTACACTGAGCTCACACTTTCCCCATTCTTCCCACTTTTCTACAATATTTCGGTTTTCTAAATGGTCAAGTGTTACGCACAGAGGGTGGCAAAGAGGACAAACTCCACCGAAACTCACCGGAGCATTGGTTTTGGCAGAACAAAAGATCAAGCTCAGCCAGCAGTACCGGTAGCTCAGTCGATCTCAATCCCTGCCCACGTACGCTGACGCCTAAGCTGATAACCATCTTCACAACCAATTGGGAAATCTTGCATGTGTAATGATACCTGCATACAGTTGCTGCCTGCCCTACAAACTACTTTGCAACCCATTTCCTGCCATTTCTGTCCTAATCAATCTCACAGGTGGCTTCTAGGTGCTGTTAAAACCTTCAGGGGCTACAGGTCAATTCATTTTAATGGATTAGTGACGGGCTCTGTGACCTAATCATCTGATCAAGCCTTCATTTTACTCCAAAGACTGTCATACAACCTTTTGGCCATAAGAGCCATCCATATACACAGTTAATCACGTCACACGTTACAGTCACGTAAGAGATGCGTGCAGCTCTTCAAGAAAGCCACGTGGTGACGAAATTAGCACTCACACATACACGTTTGTCTGTTATAAAACGTGTACGGCCCAAGAACTCGCGAGCATCATCAGTGGCGTGATCTCATGTAAGATTGTCTACGGTTAAAGAGGTCTTTCCACCTCCTTTGTTGACAATTACCAACTTATTTGTGGGTTAAAAGGTATAATATTCAAGAACTGAAATGAATGTATAGACACATAAAGAAGTACTTGCTCTCAATCGTCACTTATACCCCACTAGAAGCTTTTTGTCATTAGATGTGTAACCAATTAGAAAATTGTTAAGGGGGGTAAAAAATAAATAAATAAATCAGAAAGCAACACTAGAGACATGCACAATTTTTCCTAAACATATAGTGTATCATCAACAAAAGGATCTATATGAATTTGAATAACCTTTATTATAAACTTCAATTAACCATCTGTTGTTTCTTTTATGAAAGCAAACAATTGTTCTCATTCCGACTGCTCTTCTCGGAAAACAAGCGCTCCCTTGTTGCTTTACATAAAGTTAATTACAACCAACTGTGAGGAAGAAAAGGAAAGAGGGGTGAAGAAGGACAAGATACTAAGGACACGAGATTAGCAGACTCAAAGAGAGAGAGAGTAAGAGGACAAGGACAAAATGATGTATGGATACAAGAGAATGACAGGAAGAGGAGGAAACATGAGAGAGTGAAAAACCTAAACAGACCTAATTATACACCTAGGAAACTGGTGTCAACGTGACAGGCGTCCTCCCAGCTATAGCGTCACATTAACAAGCAAAGAGCAAAGCAGCCAGCTACAGATTCCCACTGCTTCTTCAGGACAGCTTCAGAGACTCCAAATTTTAAAAAGTGATTTTTCTTTCATTCCATTTCTTAATGTTAACGTAGAAAAATCTGTTTGCAGTTGTGTGGATGATGCTGTTTTCACTCTGTTCATCCACTGTAGTCATCACAGCAAATCCTCACTAATCATCTGTGTTTATAGCAAACAAACTGGAAAAGAAAAAACAGCAACACTTCCTGAGCAGCAGAGGATTTTTCTGGAAACGTTTCTGTGCGGTCTCTTACCTTTAGCTTGGACTGAAATTCCCTGGATTTTCTTCGGGCCAATACTTGGATGTGACTGGATACCTGGGGGAGAGGAGACGAGAGGAGAGGACGAAGTGAAGGAGGGGTTGAAGGGTAGGAAGGAGAGGAGGAAGAACCAAACAGTGAGTTGCCATGGTTATGAAAGGACTGTTGCTACACTGGAAGGGTGCACACACACACACGCACACACAGACACACACCTACCTCCCCTGACAACAGTGAATAGACCCATCTATGCACATCTTTTGAGCAAGCAAAATGACACCTGGGAACACGGGCCAAGAGCTCAGATACTAAGATTACACTTCACTGACATGCAATAATTAAAAAATAAATAAAAATCCAGACACCCAGTTAGTGTTTCTCAACAGACGGGTGGTATAATCTATCATTCTCCTGTATTTATATCATTGCTCAACTTGTAACAGTAGCGCAGCTGCTAGGCAGTTAGTCGGACAATACGTTCCTGGTTTCCTTTCTAGTAGCACAGAGAAGATGTCACATTTGGTTGTTGTGACAACAAACACAACACTTTCCAACACAGTTTATTTGACTGGACGACCGTTATGTTAAAATGAAATGAAACTGCAGAATAAACACATTATATATGGCACACAATATGACATAATACACATATACTCCAATTAAAATCCATCAATGGAACATAACCATAGTCAACAATATGAGGTCCAAAATGCACGTGTATATAATATAAAAGGATGGTTGGTCGTCAGTAAAACTACAGTTATACAGTGGGGCAAAAAAGTATTTAGTCAGCCACCGATTGTGCAAGTTCCCCCACCTAAAATGATGACAGAGGTCAGTAATTTGCACCAGAGGTACACTTCAACTGTGAGAGACAGAATGTGAAGAAAAAATCCATGAATCCACATGGTAGGATTTGTAAAGAATTTATTCGTAAATCAGGGTGGAAAATAAGTATTTGGTCAATAACAAAAATACAACTCAATACTTTGTAACATAACCTTTGTTGGCAATAACAGAGGTCAAACGTTTACTATAGGTCTTTACCAGGTTTGCACACACAGTAGCTGGTATTTTGGCCCATTCCTCCATGCAGATCTTCTCGAGAGCAGTGATGTTTTGGGGCTGTCGCCGAGCAACACGGACTTTCAACTCCCGCCACAGATTTTCTATGGGGTTGAGGTCTGGAGACTGGCTAGGCCACTCCAGGACTTTCAAATGCTTCTTACGGAGCCACTCCTTTGTTGCCCGGGCGGTGTGTTTTGGATAATTGTCATGTTGGAAGACCCAGCCTCGTTTCATCTTCAAAGTTCTCACTGATGGAAGGAGGTTTTGGCTCAAAATCTCACGATACATGGCCCCATTCATTCTGTCCTTAACACGGATCAGTCGTCCTGTCCCCTTGGCAGAAAAACAGCCCCATAGCATGATGTTTCCACCCCCATGCTTCACAGTAGGTATGGTGTTCTTGGGATGCAACTCAGTATTCTTCGTCCTCCAAACACGACGAGTTGAGTTTATACCAAAAAGTTCTACTTTGGTTTCATCTGACCACATGACATTCTCCCAATCCTCTGCTGTATCATCCATGTGCTCTCTGGCAAACTTCAGACGGGCCTGGACATGCACTGGCTTCAGCAGCGGAACACGTCTGGCACTGCGGGATTTGATTCCCTGCCGTTGTAGTGTGTTACTGATGGTGACCTTTGTTACTTTGGTCCCAGCTCTCTGCAGGTCATTCACCAGGTCCCCCCGTGTGGTTCTGGGATCTTTGCTCACCGTTCTCATGATCATTTTGACCCCACGGGATGAGATCTTGCGTGGAGCCCCAGATCGAGGGAGATTATCAGTGGTCTTGTATGTCTTCCATTTTCTGATGATTGCTCCCACAGTTGATTTTTTCACACCAAGCTGCTTGCCTATTGTAGATTCACTCTTCCCAGTCTGGTGCAGGTCTACAATACTTTTCCTGGTGTCCTTCGAGAGCACTTTGGTCTTGGCCATGGCGGAGTTTGGAGTCTGACTGTTTGCGGCTGTGGACAGGTGTCTTTTATACAGATGATGAGTTCAAACAGGTGCCATTCATACAGGTAACGAGTGGGGGACAGAAAAGCTTCTTACAGAAGACGTTACAGGTCTGTGAGAGCCAGAGATTTTCCTTGTTTGAGGTGACCAAATACTTATTTGCCACCCTGATTTACAGATAAATTCTTTACAAATCCTACCATGTGAATTCATGGATTTTTTTTTCACATTCTGTCTCTCACAGTTGAAGTGTACCTCTGGTGCAAATTACTGACCCCTGTCATCATCTTAAGTGGGGGAACTTGCACAATCGGTGGCTGACTAAATACTTTTTTGCCCCACTGTAGTTACATCAGAGGTTAGCTTGCGCATGTTGGCTTACAGCTCCAGCTGCACTATCACACTTACCGGAGCTTTACTAAGCACACGCATCTTTACCTCGAGGTAACAATGATACAAGTAAAATCAGGATCAGTAACCAGCGTGGCCAGTGTTGGGAAGGTTACTTTTAAAATGTATTCCACTACAGATTACAGAGCACATGCCCCAAAATGTATTTTATAACGTATTCCGTTACGTTACCCAATGAGATTAACGTATTCTGAATACTTTGGATTACTTAATATATTATCATGCTTCTTACAACTACATGAATGTGATTTATTACTATTACTGAAGGTTATTCGCCATACCAACACCAACTAGATGTTTAAATCTTAATATAAATGAGTAACAGTAGGTGGACATTAGGTAAGGCTGCACTTTTTGCAGCGATCTCGTATAGAAAACTATTCCTCCCCAACACTGAGTATAGCTGACTGTAGCTACACCTGAATGGGCTTTTTTTGCACTGCTGAATCAACAGCTAATCGGGGAAACAATATTCTTTAAATCTCTGTGCTTTTTTCCGACAGTTGGAGATCTTTTTTTTTTTCCAAGCTACTCTTTGTATAATGGGATACGTGGCGATCCATACTGTAGGCGGCATGACTAGATTTAAAGCGCACTCCCATTATTACCTGTTTCCTTGTTCGCGTCTTCCCCGTTCGGAGTTTGATGTATCTGGCTATCAGCTCGTTTCGACCTGGAGGCACAAGACACAGAACATAGTAATGAAACATTATGCATGCCCACATGCATGTTAAACCCCATTTGACCGGTCTTTCGTTTACGCGGACAATCGCACGCAGAAATCATATGACCCTGACAAACAACTTAGTGGCTGATTTAGAGCTGTTGACCCAGCGGCCTGGTTGACGTGCAGTTTCACATAGAAACGCTGTAATCACCGATACCCCTGTTGAGCCGTCCACACATACACACATGCACATAAAATCACACACGCCACGGCCCTGAATACACATGACCCAACAATACAGGCATTCATGCGGACCGGCCGTCCCCTGATTAAAGGAGCCAGCAGGCCAGCTGTACCCGTGTTTACGCGTGCACACATACACGCACACATAAAGACACACACACACGCACGCACGCTTACGATGCTGAATAATTCAACCCATTCAATGGGGAGCACAGCAGACTCAGCATGACCTGGCTAGTATAGATTAGCCAGGGAGAGGGAGGCAGTGAGAAACAAAGCAGAAAAACACAACTTTTACATCCAGAGAAACTGCGAAGGGGAGGGGAGGGGTCGTTTGCACATATTAACTTAGGCCTGCTCCGCCTGGCTATATTACAGCTTTACAGTCCTTAGGAATTAAGGACGACAGACCATTTTACAGATTTCAGGAAATTATGTAATTTGACTGTAATTTTATTTGCTAACAAGCAAATGCGGTTCAGTTTGGTTTGGTTTGGTTTCGCTCCCGATCTGTTCTCTGTTGCAACCAAGTGGAAAACCAAAGTCGGGCCAGCTGGCCAACTGATGGTCAAGATCAGCACAAAGCCAAACCTCTACACACTACCCAAATGGCTTGCAACAATAGCCCTAACTAACTAGCAGATGGTGTGTGTGCATGCGTGTGTGTGTCTGTGTGTGTGTGTACCTTCTGAGCAGTCCCACTCTCACTGAGATATGGAGCTTAGACTGATAAAATCTACAGCTCACCATGCAGGTGTTTTCCTTCGAGCAGTCAAAAGCTGTGACTGACGACAGCACGCAGACGCACACACACACACAGTACACATAGATGTATACGCAAACATGAGTGCGTGCTGTGAACGCGTGCACAGAAACACACACACACTGAGTAGTCCTGGCTGTGGAGGCTGACATCTGACTCCAGAGGGGCCAGCTGGTCTTTCTAGGAGGCTTAACGGTGAATTATCATCCTTCACTAACCCTGCGGCACACATCCCTCACTCTCACCCTCCCTCTCTTTCAAAAACTCTCCAGCACACACACACGCACGCACACACAAACACACTTTCTTCCCTCCCTTCATTCGGCCATCCATCCATCCTGTGTTCTGGCTGTTCCTTTTCCCCCCTCCTCTGTCCCTCTTGTAGTGAATGGGCTTCCCGTCTGCTCCCTCCCTCCCTCTTCCACTCTCTGTCTCCATCTCTCTCTACTCGCCCAGTGAAAGACTTCAAGGCCAAAGTCAGATGGTCATTAACCGTGACGAACAGAAGCAACCCCCGTGCTCCCCCCAGCTCCCTATCTCTAGGCTGAGGCCACCGCGTGCAAGCCGATATTAATGGAGACGACAAACTGGGAAGAAAGAAAAGTAATGAAATTACATGTTTGTTATGTGATTCTGAACCATTTAGAGCTGATTTGAGAACACGAAAAAAGTTCCAGAAAACACAGGAAACAAGAGCCGGGTTGGTGACGTAATGCTACGACGACACAGGGTTACAATACAAAAGTGCATACGAGGTGGTACGAGGCAGAACGAGTGAGAAGGAGAAGCTAAATCAGACGCTTCCTGCAGTTTGTGTGGTTAGAAATGCGCCTTTTCTTTCCTGTCCGCTAGCCGCAGTACATTACTGTTACGCCGTCGCTCTCTTAGTGGGGTGATTAAGAGCTTCAGCTGCTTCATAGAATAGCTCAAAACCCCTTTCAGAATAAGGTCAAGGCCTCGCTGACCGCGCTCGCTAACAAGGCTGGAGTTGAGTGGTGTGTATTGTTGTGTACCCTGGACAGACCTCAGAGACCACAGGGGCCAAACACTGGCCTAGAGCCTGGATTCGCAGCAGCTTTGTGGGAGTTTCTGTTCGTTACATCCAAAAAGCAGTTTTTAAAGTGCTAAACCTTTAGGATTTGCATTTGCACTCATTTGAGGCTCTTCCCTTTGTCCTCCAAGGCACAATCCCTGAAATCCTGGTTGGTGCAGACTGAAGTTAATCTTTCATTTATTACAAACAAGCTGCCAGTTCTTTTAAAGAGTAACCAAATCCTGTTAATCTTTTACTGCCAGGTGATGCCACCTGCAGAGATTTGGTAACATCGACTTACTCTAATGTTGGACGACCGTAATATGTAGCGCATCACGGTATCCGACTTGTTTCAAAGGAACCAAGAAGTGTTGACTGAGTGTTCCCAGCACCGTGTAAATATTGTTTTTCAAAGTGCTGATAATAGTATGATATTTGTTGCCGGTGTCAGGGAACGGAATAATGTGATGATTAAAACATGCAACAAGAAGAAGCTGTGAGGATAGAACCAGTAAAAGACTTAAACCCTCAACTCTGACAACAAATAAAGCCTTTAATATTCATTTTCTCCTTTCATTCTGAAACCACTCCAAAATTTCAGTATTAATACCAGTTTATTCCAATTTAGTTACAGTGCACACTGAAATTAAACGTGGACTAAAAATGTTTTTTCCGTATTACAGTGGTCTAAGATGACTCGTTATTTGTGGGGGAATGATCGCAGGACTCGGCGGTTCCTCTTTGCTTTGTTTTTGCGTCTCTTTCTTTTCCTTCGGTCTCATAAATCCTGTTACTCGCAGCAGCACACGTCAGCTTTGACGGCTGAAGTCACGGACTAGCTGGAGAGCATTTAGCAGCTTAAAAAAACAGACATTTCCTTTTAAAAGTGTTTGTGGAGACAGCTAAAAGGAGAGCGAAGGCTACCAGATTTCCATTTGCCAAACAGGGCTTAAATAAATGCTAATGCAGACGCGTGCTCACGCACATGTTCACCATAAGGTGATAAGATCTGGGTGTTGTGCTTAAAGCTTGTCAGCACTGCTGATCACATAGTGAAAACCACACTAATCTGACCAGACACTGGCTTAAGAGTAAATTTGTTTTCTACTGAATTATCCTTTAAAAAGAAATTTCTTTACTTTTATGTGATTTATTAGAAATAAAGACAAATGTAGCTGAAAAAAGCGGCGATTTGAGGAACTTTTCTCTTAATAACGTCACATAAAGTAGGCGGCAGTGAGCCTGAAATTTAGTGAGTCTTATGATTTGTATTTTATTATTACTGGAAAACAAACTTGGGTAGGTTACAGCCCCTAAGAAGGTAAAAAACAATATAGATACATCGGCGGGGTACAGTAACGCACACACAGGAAGAAACATTTAAAAAATACAGTCACGCATCGGGCACGTGAGGATTCAATTCCTCGCCATCTAAAGGATTTCGAAATGAACAGACAAAGGCAGAAGGGTAGCTAGCCCTTTGTCTTAGGGGAAGATGAAGAGTATCTTCAAAATGAGTCATATAAGTCGAGTAACTGGTTTCGCTGAAGTTGATTTTGCAACGTTGTTGGTATGTCGACTGGAAAGAACCAAAACCATTCAGCCCCAATGAAGGATGCAACCTCCAGTTTAAGACGATTACATTTTTACAATGAAGAAAATGTAGGTGTGTATGACACCATGTGACTGGAAAACTTTTGCCAACATGTGTCACAGTCTATACTTCTTCCACTGTTATTCTCGATAAGTAAAGCCCCCTGTGACATAGCTGGTTTGAGCATGCTCGCCGCTGAAGAGACAGATGCCGTTCTGTGTATTAGTCAGTAGATCTATAGGATATGTAGGAGACAAAGACACTGGTCATTATATTGTACTTTTGATGCATCTTTCCCAAGGATAATAGAGCCATTATTCGCCTTTTCATTCCCTGTTATATGCACCCACATTATGATGTTTCTAAGCTTCTCATCCACTAAGTTTATCCCGGCACTTTTTGTACCCGTTTCTTCTTCTTTTACGTTTCACTCCATTTTCCTCCACCCTGTGGGGGGTGTTTCTAGAACCGCAGTAGTCCCCTGCCTATCAGGTATTACTCGTTTCTCCTCTGTACTGTAAGACAACTTACCAGCCACTCAGTGTGCCTTAATGTAATGTCAAAGAAAGCGAATCTACCCTTAAAGATGTTTAAGTTTGCCTTTAATAACTAAGCTTGTATTTTGCTTCTGTGCAAGCAGGAAAAAAAGCAGAAAAATCATTAAAAAACAAAACAAACTCAACAAAGCCTCAAGAGCCCGATTACACACCAGGCATGAAATAAAATAAGAGCCTATTCAATCCTGCAAGCTCCATTGGCTAAAAATTACAATAAACGAGATACTGTTTTATAATTCCGCTTTGCACAGATGTTGTAGGCAATGATTAAAACCCCTGGTCTCTGTGGCCAAATGCTGCTCATCCCTTCTTGCCATTTCGCCTTTCCTGCTCTGCCTCTGAAAACAGACACCATCTAACTCGATTAGGTCACCATGATAAACGTGTCAACAACCTGCACACAGAGTCAACAAGGTAAACAACCGAACATGCCACCAAGGCAGAGAACAGAATGAGTCTGATTGATCGGCAACTGATCGGGAACACAAAGGAGGTCGATCGCGAGGTTTAGCATCAACGCGACAGGAGAGCGCTGCTGCTTCCAATCTGTGCATGTCCGTAGCGTTTAGGGTTTTTTGGGTACACCTCTCTCTGTTTCTGCTCTATTCAGAGAACAGCAGCAGTGCATCCATGAATAACCAGGGGATGTGAAAGAACATTTAGCTCATTTCTGTTGAAAGCTGGCTGGCTTTTTTTGCATCACAACTCAGCCAAATAATGCAGCGAGATTATTTTTGTTCCATAGCCCTCCATAACAACACACGTGGCCGGATCTACACATCAGAAAATGTATTAATTTTATTTTCACCTTTATTTTGGACAGCACAGTAGAACAGCAGAGAGAGAGCAAGGGGAACAACACACAGGAAATGGCCCAGGGCGGACTCGAACCCAGAAGCCTTTTAGCAAATAAGTCACCTGCTCAACCACTGAGTTATACCAGCACACAGAACATTAGTACTGTTGGTTTAAGACATCTAATTATAGTAGATCATGTTTCTCATAGATTATCATAGCATTAATGTTACATAAGTTTGCTTTACAGGCTTAGAAACTCTTCTTATTGTGTCTCTGGGGTTCAAAGAAAAGGACAGCTGAAGCAAAACAACAACATGAAGCTAAAAAAAGAAGACGATTCGCTAAAATTGCAAAAATTCCGAAGGAAACTGTGACGTTGGGACAATTCACAAGTTTTTAAAAGTATAACTTTAAGGTGCTTTAAAGAGTCCTGACCTTAACCTAACCAAACACCCTAGAGACGCACTGGTACACAGACTGTAAGCCAGATCACCCATGAACAGGACCTGACCTCACTAATGGGACAAACAAATATGGCCGCCCTCTTTCGGGGCTCATATTTAGCGTTCTAGTCTGTGTGGGACCTTTAACCTAGATGATAGAGGAAATAACTATCTCATATTTAGGATACTGATTTTGATTTTCTCTCGATTCCCAAAACTCAAGAAGTATTCACTAGAGAGCGATACGACGAAAGAGAGGAAAAAAGAAAAACAACAGGGTGAAAGGGAGGGGGGACGCAGCTGGTGGCAGCCAGAGAACCATCTGTTCATCACTCTATTAGTTCACACACACACACACACACATATAAGTACTCTCTCTTAGTCCCACGCTCACACACACTGCGCACCTATAGCCTGCTTCTATTTCCTCTCTTTTACGGCTCTTTCCTCCCCCTGCATCTCTGACACTTTGCCCTGCGCGACAAGCCTCCGCCACAGCCGTCTATGTCGTTATTCGCACCGTCTGACACAACAGCGAACATTTCAACAGCTCGGCCAGTCGCTCGGTGCGTTTATATCACATTCTACCACATATACCGTGTGAATTAGTGACGAACTATCAAATTTATTCACACTTATTAAATATGGCCCACGGTTGTAGAACAACACAAAGAAGTGACCTCTGCTTGTTTGCGCCTTCGTGAAGAAACCAAAACAAAGCACACGGGGTGCATCGCACTTTCACAACAGCTCCTGTAATTCGCAGTCCAAAGCAATAGGAACATTTATTAAGCGAGGAGTAAAACTGTTTTTCATTGTTTATCTACACTGATATGAGAAAAAGACCTTTTTCAGTTTTTCAAGTGTCAGTAACTTGTACTGATTTATACCCAGCCCTGATTTCCCATCACTCACCGTACATCTTCCCTTCATCCGACAGTATAATCTTCCTCCTTCCACAGGGCGGATAGATGGCCAGGGCCTCCTGGAAGCTCTGCTCGATGTCCGGGCTCCAAACTCCCTCGGGATCCCCATCCATGGTCTTGTCCCCTCCAGAATCACTCAGTCTGTCCATGTCCTCCCCTGGACTCTCACTGCCACTCCAGCTACTGCGCTCCATACTGGCAGCTAACGGTAACTAGCTGATGTGTACTCAGTGCAAATGCCTTGATGCCAAGTTGATAAAGTAATTAAAAGTCTAGTGATAAACTGAAGCTAAAATGAACTATAATGGTAATAATTAACTCCCAGTAACAACGGCCAGCTGTGGCCAACTAGAAACTGACGGTAGCTCCAAATGGTAACTACCAGTAATAAAAATTTAAGGACTAGTGAACTGTAGAAAAGTGAGTGAGCCGCTCCAAAATCCAACCTCAGAGCTCTACAAGAAAAGAGGAATAACAAAGAAAAGTATCGTATTAGTCATTAATATTCAAACTTGATTCTTCCCATATATGCAAATTACATTTTACTGCAGCAACACAAGCTCACGTATAAGACAAGACAAAGTGGCACGCTATTGAAAAACCTTTTAATATTGAAACTGCGAATAATTTTACTGTTTGGTACAGTAGGGGTCTGCTTATAACCACTGACTGTAAACGACGGATGCAGCTTTAGGGTCTGGAAACTGAAGCCAACACTGACCAGCAGGGGCCGATTCCTCTGGTTCCAAAAAGACTCCCGATTGTATAGAAGTCTCTGGAAAAACGTCCCTCTGATCCTTTATTCTGTGAAAGCGATCAGGAGAGTGTTCACTGCGATCAAACTCTTGAATAAAACATTGAGTTCTGTTCCACAGACAGATGCGCCTCTCGCTTGTCATGTCCGATTCCAAAGCACCAAGACGGCGACAGCAAAAACAAAATCAGCTCGAGGCTTCATAAGGGTGCCTCGCTTTTCCAGCGAGCAGTCTTACTGTGGCTGTGCCTATGTTTTATCAAAAAACTAACACAAAAAAGAGCAAGAAAAGGACAAAAGAAACTAGAGTCAAAGTTTTGATACAATTACACCCCCAAGCCCAGAGGAAAGGATCAACTGATCACCCAGCGACTTGCATCCAATGAGCTTCTCGGTCATGTTCAGGAGACAAATACGGATTTCACTGCTAAATTTTGCTTTTCAGCTTGCATTGTGCAGGTGTGATCACCACATCCCAGAATTTCATTTCAGAAAATGGGACAAACATAATGGAGGGGTGCCATTCTTCTCTCTCTGCAGCCTGCTTTGTGATTCACACTGATATTAAGTCAGATTTTTTTTTTTTTTAAACCAGGAAAATATTTTTTAATGTAGCTTTAAGTTCCGATCAACATGTAGCAAGCCTGTATTCCAGCTGCAAGAGGTAAAGTATTGCTTCCTTTCATGAAGGAAATTGCCTATTTTGTTAAAACCGTTGTGGTACATCAAATCCATGCACGTAAGGAGTGCAAGCGTGTGAGGGGCAGGCTACTACTACACACAGCGACAGACTCAGGGAGGGGAAAAAAGACAAACTGAAGGGGCTTGCCAGCTGCCTACAATTCTTCTAAAATCCCCCATGGTAAACAGCAGGGTTGGCTCAGTACACACCACACTCAAACACCACCACCATATGCACACACACACACACACACGCACACACACGCACACACACACAATTACTGTGCCAGCCCCTTGGGCGAACACATGTCATTTTGCCTGGTCTTCTACTGTTCACACTTCCCATGCACTGTCCCCTTGCCACAGCCCGAACAAGCCTGCAGTGTGAAGTAGATATGTGTGTGTGTGTGTGTCTATACTTAACACAATTATATTTGACAATAAGCACACATGCAACTGAAGCATGTAAAGCAGCAGGCAACATTTTGGACACATTTTAACCCCGTCTGCACACCAGCGTTCAGCTTGAGGCTTTTTAACACCTGGAGGAAAACGCTGCGAATCCACAAGAAAACATCCGCTGGCAGAGAATTACAGACATGTGTAATGAAAGGGATCTGCTGGTTTTACTGGAGTTTGTCCCCAGGTTCTCTCTTCATGCTCATTCTGTTCACCCTCGTTTCCGTTTCCTCTCCAACTTCCCATCGTGGCTTTCTTCCCCGCCTCTTCCCGCCCATCCCTCTCCAGCAGTTTTCCCCATTCAAACAAAGATTCATTCATCCAGCAGCCCGCACCAATGAGCAGCAGCAGCTGGATTTCTTACAAGTTTCGGTGTCTCTGGGAGACTTTTCGTGCTGAAGTCAGAATACAGACGCTGTGATCGTCTAGTTTCACGTTACAGTCATTTCACTGATACGTCAATGGCAACATTCTTTAAATAAGTCAGTTCTTGTTAATTTGTTGTCAACCTTCAACCTTTACGCTTAAATATGTTGCTTCTATATGGTAGCTAACAGAAGGTGATAGCACAATATTACACTAGACTCATTTTTGTTTGTAAAGTGCTTTTTAAAGCCCATCAGAGTCAGTCACTGACATTGGCAGCCTATTAAAATCAAGGTCTAAAGCATCACTGAGCAATATTTTATAATAAATAGAAGATAAAATGACTAGTTTTGATTTCTACTACTGATTAAGGTCAATTCCAGCTGCATCTCACAGCTGTTTAGAGACAATGAACCCACAGCACAGCACAAAACCAGCATGAACTTTGTTGACTTTTCTTACTTTTCGTCATAATTTTCATCAGTGACTCTTTGTTTCCTCACAAAAACAACATAATAGCCAAGTTAAAAAACTATGATGACTTTTTGTCGATAAATAAAAACGAGATGGAAATATTCTGGAGAGACGAGATCCAATCAGAACTGATTACGCTACAAAATGTCAACGATTTGAAGGAAGAGAAGAGAGTAAACATGTGGACACATTCTGCATTTAAAGTCAAGGGAAGTAAGACATTTTATAAACTGTGTGGAGCAACTCTCACCATTAAAAACATTTTGTATTTTAATCAATTGAAAGACTTCAAATTTTTAAACTTCATAAGTTTAGACAACTTAAATTTGACTGAAACTAAAGAGCATTTTAGTCAAAAGACTACAAAAACGCAAATCAAAATGTACTGTCAAAATGAACACAGCGGAAATATACAGTCCGAAAAATACTTCTTAGAAGAGTAACCAGTGGACGTGCATTTTAAATTTTAATGCTACATTTTCAGCTAAAATTACTTTATCTTTAAAACTAAAGAACTAATAAAAACATGTATAAATCAACTGACCTTTGAGGAGCTGTTAGCATTTTCCATCCATCTTGCTCATCTTACCCAATTCAGGACAAGACGAGAGGATTTTCTGTTCTGTGCAGGATTTAAGTAATGAAGCACATTTGGCTGAGTCTCTTATATGGATTCATTTAGTAGATTTTATAAGTTTAAAAAGCGTTATTTGTGCCATTGCAAAGAAAAAGGAAACACAAAATTAAAGACAAAAGACAAAATTAACTTTCTTATTTAAGATGAAACCTGGATTCTCTTATTTGTGTTCTTTTATAGTTCTTACAAGAAAGGACCGTAAAGGGGCTTAGAAAAAGGAAGAGACAAGCAGCAACGTGGTGACCAGAGATTGTGGAATCTCAGTGAAGTTTAGCACAGTCGAAATAACCATTAGCGATGCAAAATGAGTATCAGGTGAAATTTACAAACACCAACAGGAGGTGAAGACAACAGCTGATGTATGACACGGCGCCTTAGTGGGTCGCCTAAGCACTCATACACTCAACAAAAATATAATAATAATAATAATAATAAACGCAACACCTTTGTTACTGCTCCCATTCCCCATGGGATGGACGTAGAGACCTAAAATTCATTCCAGATACACAATATAACCATCCCTCCCAAACAGTGGTCACAAATCAGTCCAAATGTGTGGTAGTGGGCACATCTGCTATATTGAGATAATCCATCCCACCTCACAGGTGTGCCACATCAGGATGCTGATCTGACATCATGAGTAGTGCACAGGTGTACCTCAGACTGCCCACAACAAAAGGCCACCCTGGAATGTGCAGTTTTTTGCACTATTGGGGATCTGGGGACCCAGAACCAGTCAGTATCTGGTGTGACCACCATTTGCCTCATGCAGTGCAATACATCGTCGCATGGAGTCTATCAGATTGTCAATTGTGGCCTGTGGAATGTTGGTCCACTCCACTTCAATGGCTGTGCGAGGTTGTTGGATATTCGTGGGAACTGGTGCACGCTGTCGTATACGCCGGTCAAGCACATCCCGAACATGCTCAATGGGTGACATGTCCGGTGAGTATGCTGGCCATGCAAGAACTGGGACATTCTCAGCTGCCATCTGCCCTGAACAATGTGAACCATGATTCATCCGTGAAGCGCACACCTCTCCAACGTGCCAGACGCCATCGAATGTGAGCATTTGCCCACACAAGTCTGTTACGGCGACGAGCTGGAGTCAGGTCAAGACCCCGATGACGACGACGGGCATGCAGTTGAGCGTCCCTGAGACGGTTTCTGACAGTTTGTGCAGAAATTGTTTGGTTGTGCAAACCAATTGTTCCAGCAGCTGTCTGGGTGGCTGGTCTCAGACGATCTTGGAGGTGAACCTGCTGGATGTGGAGGTCCTGGGCTGGTTACACGAGGTCTGCGGTTGTGAGGCCGGTTGGATGTGCTGCCATATTCTCTGAAACGCCTGTGGAGACGGCTTATGGTTGAGAAATGAACATTCAATGCACGGGCGACAGATCTGGTTGACATTCCTGCTGTCAGCATGCCAATTGCACGCTCCCTCATTGCTTGTGGCATCTGTGGCATTTTGCTGTGAGACAAAACTGCACATTCCAGGGTGGCCTTTTGTTGTGGGCAGTCTGAGGTACACCTGTGCACTACTCATGATGTCAGATCAGCATCCTGATGTGGCACACCTGTGAGGTGGGATGGATTATCTCAATATAGCAGATGTGCCCACTACCACACATTTGGACTGATTTGTGACCGCTGTTTGGGAGTGATGGTTATATTGTGTATCTGGAATGAATTTTAGGTCTCTACGTCCATCCCATGGGGAATGGGAGCAGTAACAAAGGTGTTGCGTTTATATTTTTGTTGAGTGTATGTCCACTAGTGAACCGACCGTGAGCTATGGGGTGTTCACGTGTCTGCCTTTAGTCACACACATAGAAAACTGAACTTTCTGAGATTTGCGGCATGAACAGAGACCTGAAGGACTCCACAGGTGAACTGTTAGCAGAGGATTAACTTCCAATCAGGGCCGGCCCGTGGCATAGGCCGTATAGGCAAATGCTAAGGGCGCCGCCCATCAGGGGGCGCCACGCCAGTGCCATAAATGTTGAAAAAAAAAAAAAGTTGGTACTATTATTTCTAAATACAAAAAATAATCCCACGTTAATTAAAATGCAAAGTAAAGCTTA